TTCCAATTGTACAGACGTATTGGTTTGTTTGTGTAACAATTTTTGGTTCTACGTTTTCTTTTATTGATGCTGGTGACTTGGTTTTTGCGTCAGTAAAGTATATTTGATCGTCAATTTGATGGTTTTTTTTAATGGAGTCCTTTTGAATTGTGAAGTTCTTGTATTGCGGTTGTTTCTGATTCTGAGACTAGGTTTCTTTGTTTTGAAAATCGTTTCCTAATATTTTGTTTTTGTATTTTAATAATTTTCTTTCTTAGTGTTTGTCTTTTTGTTCTGATGTATCCTATTGTTTGTCTGTGTGGTGTGGTTACAAGATCGTATTTTTCGTCGTTAATTAAACAATTGTGAATTATGATTGTTTGTTTGTTTCCTAAATTGTCTCTTGACATAAGGTTTAGGATGATCGATGCAATTTTGGGATTAAAGATTTCTAATGTCTTAAACTATTACTTACCTAATCTTACTTAAGGGTTGTGATTTGTGATCAAGGGTTTGAGAATAGTAAATCGATCCACAAGGTTCAGGTATAATTAGAACGCAAGTAGTTCGTTAGATACTATATTATGACTTGCTAAGTTGAACTGTTTAGCCTGGGTCATCTAAGAGGAGGGGAATCAAATGAAGGATGACTAACCGAAGTTCTTCACTGTTTACCCTAATTAGAATGGTTAGCTATTTGAAAATTTTCTGTTAATGCTGGGTCTTTAATAAGGGTTGGGTAGTGAATCGACGTTTGAGGTTTTTAGACACTAATTAATATGGGAGGGGGAGAACAAAATTGTTTTAATTGATCCAAGGACAAGCCTTGATGATCAGAAATTTAGATATAATTTAATTTAATTTAAAAATCTAAGGGAAACCTATCTGATCTGTTTTTCGAAATGAAATTAATTAAGTGAAAACAAGGATAAGCTTTGATAGTTTATCAATAAAGGGTTAAGTTAAAAAGATTAAGTTTTAATTTTGGTGACTGTTAATTTTTGAGATTTGCTGTTATGTTTTAGGTGATGAAGTTGGTATGAAGAGAAGATTTATTTATTCTAACGATGTATGATTTATACAAAATAATTTTTTGTATTTATATTTTAAATAAATATTTTTTCAAGATGTTATTCAATTTACAGCTGATTTAAGGAAAGCGACTAGTGTTGTTTTTATCAGTCGTTATTGTAGAATTATTAGGTTTAAAGCCATGAGAGTTTTTTGAAGATGATTCTTTGAAATTTTTTGTCAGTAAATGAAAATTTACTGCTGGAAGTATTCTAACTATATTTGATCTCGTTTTTGTTGTACAATCATGAAATCAATTGGTAGATTTCTTCCTAATTGTATGTTGTTTCTTCGACGTCTTCTTCCAATACCGGGCTTATAACTTATCATATAACTTTTTTGAAATGTTTTATTTGTCTAATTCCAATCTATATTTTGTCTCTACCCAAGTTAGTTAAGGTCTGTTTGAGGCTTTTGGTGGCACCAGATGAGTTATATCCTTGTGGGTATACTCATAGAGTAATTTGAGATAAGGTACACCGTCTGCTCGTCACGCTATCTTATTTTCGGCCGGATAGATTCGTGCAACTTCTTAGTCTAATACCAATCTTAATCGTACTCTTATATTTCCTAGTCTCAATAGATCTAGTGTACACCGGTTTAAGCGAGTTAGTTCCAGAATGAGAAAAACTGTATTCTAAGTTTAATTTAAATTGTTCTGGTGTTGAAACTTCAAGTAGTTTCAACAATTACAAATAAGAGGGTTGTTAGTTTGATGGAGTATGATTGGTTAGCATTCAATATTTTATAGAGATAAAATATCAGAATAATATCCAATAAAAAATTCTAGTTTAGACCTGGTTCCAAACGTTAGTTTTTTCATGAGTTGACAGAGGTTTGGTCTTGAACGGCTGAACCTTTTTATTACTTTAAGCTGTTTTCCATCTTTTTGATGGTTTACTGACCTTTATGATAGTTGATAATTTGCTACCCTGCTGTTTACAGTTTCAAAAAACATTATTATCTGCAATAACAACAAAATTAGGGGCAATACATCTAGAAGTCTCCATCGTGCATCCAGAGTTGTATATCTCCTATAATCACTGTTTTCTTGCTCATCAGCAAAAAAAATTTGACTAAAGCATTTGAACGGAAACATTTTTCCTACCAACTTTTTATGGTTTTGATGCATTTCTACAATAGTTTTTTAATTTTCAAGTTTTTGATCTAGAAACACTAATCGTTATTTTGAGTAACTTTAATTCAGTTGCTTTTAAAACATTGTTTGTCTGCAGATAGCAAAGACAATGCAAGTCGAATTAAACAAGTCTGATTTGTAGCATTGTTCAAATCAGGCTAAAATTCCGCCTCATTTTGTTATCGCAGAGCTAATGACGAAAGATCGTGGTGGGGTTCGGCGGGGTTTCCTAAGCCTTTTCATAACACTAAAGCTTAGTTGGCTGATTTTGTTATTGAAGGGTCGATTTTTTTTCTGTTAAATGTCCTTGTGAGAGATCGATTTCTTGTTTTCTGCTTGAGCCGCCTATGAAATTATCACAAGCAGAAGGATCAGTTGGTTATTGCTTTAATAGCAAATGGTTGTATTGTTATTGTGTAACTTAGTGTCATCCTCGATGATCAGAAATTGTCCAGGATGATTATGATTCTTTGTTGCAGAGGGAAAAACTAGAGCTGATTCGATAGTCTGGTTGCATATCATGCTGGAGAGGGATTGCTGAAGATACTGGAGAGTGGGCGCTGCTTTTTCGAAGATTTTTCTTCTCTCGGCTGACAAAGTGTTCGTTCATTCGCGGCACTGAATTAAAAGAAATCATCGATTTTTCCCGACACGAATAAAAGAACATTTTGTCAGCCTATATCGGATTTTTTTTGAATAAATTTCCAATTATTCTCCAGTATCATCAGCGGTCACTCTTCAGTTTGATATGCAACCTCACCTACAGAATGAGCACAAATATTTCGCTCTGCAGCGAAGAATCAGAGTCAACCTGGATAGATTATAATTATCGAAGGCAACACTCAATTACTCTACAACGATAGCATCACCTAATGTAGCAGCGACTAATTGGTTGTTCTACTAATGATAGGTTCATAGGCGATTCAACCAGCAAAAAATACCAATCTATAAGAAAAAAGTTTCATTTAAAAAAGAAACAAAAATCGACCCTTCGTCAACGACAGCAGTCTCTTGAGCTTTAGTAGGGTTTTGAAAAATGGTTTGGTGTTTTTTAACCCATGTCGAATTTTGATAGATTTAGTTGGACTTGTTTTGGCTTTCCGGCCCGACACCGAAAAAAAAATGTAGTGTTACACTTTTGAATCTGTTTGGTCACAGGCGACTTTGTTGTTTCTCTACGCCTCTAATTTTGTTCTCTGTTTATCCATGGATTTCAACCGCTGGTTGTATGATTGGTGGGTTGTCTGTTAATAAGTCCCTGACTTCTATCGACCTCCGCAAAAATATACATTTCTACTATCGCCACCCATTTCGTCCATTCCTGTGGTGGTTCTGTCACCAGTTTCTGCCAGAATGAGATGATGCTCAAAAAACGTTTTGTCGCTCTCACTGCGCCGTGCCATACGGTAAAATATGCTCAATGTGATAACAATGTTAAGACCGAAGCATCCGTACGGAATAGTCTATCTAAAACTTTCAAACTTGGTAAGAATATCAACCCTTTGATATCTTTGCTCTGCATCTCTGAACCACGCCGTTTACTCGCTGCTGTTTCACGGCAAGACTAAATAAGGTTGAATGAAGTCACATCATATCGTTGATTCGATATAAATGTAATTTAAATGTATACATAAATAGGTTTTAAAGAATTTAATTCTGACCATCCGGCGAATGGCAGAAGGCTAAAATCCTGGGTCGAGGGGCTTGATTTGTGTTTCGATCGTCTCGACCAAATTTCGGCTTGTTTCAACTTTGTGAATATACTTGCAGCGCAATATTCCTGCAGCGAGAACCGGTTCTGAATTTTTTTATAAGTTTCAATTTGATTTGAAAACTAAATAATTGTAAGGTTGGTTTTAAAAAGACATATTGATCATCAATATTGTTTTTACTAAAAGGATTCAATTATTCGAAGGCTATATGCCCTGTTTAGGAACGACCCATTTCCCTTCGATTTGTACGTTATCCCGGATCTCTTTACCTATTTCCACCCCTAGTTTGGAAAAGGCGAGATTCATTACTAGGTACAAGATGCACACATGCTTAACCGGTGATTTATTTGATTATAGGGGTGGCATTTTGTTACTTGGTACCAAAAGGGGAATAGTTAAAAAAAATCCGGCTTTTGTTCAAAGTTTTTTTAAAAAATTTCAGAATACCACTTGCTGATGCTACTCCAACAAATTTCATTCCATGAAGTCAGTGTTGTAGCCGATAATTATCACGGCCAGTAGCGGATTTAGGGGTAGGGCGTATGCTCTCCCCCCTCCCCCCACCCTGAGGGATTCGACCCCCTGCCGACCCAAAGGTTCCCCCTTTGTACTATTTTGAGATACCCATTTTTGGCTGACCGACCTGAAAATTTTTCTAAAGGCGCCTGGGGCGCCAATCTATACTAACTTTGAGGGGGGAGCGCGCGCCGAAAAAACGCAAATTTTTTGTCAAAACTTTCCAAAAAGTGCCTAAAAACGCCTTTTTTTGAAAACCCGTTCCCCTTCGAGAAATTCCTTGCCTAGATCCGCGCCTGATCACAGCCACTGTAACTGTAACCGAGTTTTTTTTCTAGGTTTTTATCACCCATTAATTATCATCTACTCGCTTCAGCTATTAGCAATTTATTCCTCAATGACAACAAACGAATCATTTAGTGGATATTACGTTATACTAAAAATTATTCAAGTATAAAACTAAAATTTGATTACCACTATCAACTATTATTTTGAAAATTAACAACTCTTACGTTGATATGTATGCAGCAAGTTTTTTGAGTTCTATCTCAAATCTTTACTCGTATAATAAGTTCTAACAGCATTGTACCATTTTAGTTCACTTATTCGATGTTAGATTATTGTTCACCAATTCAATATTGAATATACCATCCCGTGTAAAAATTATGAAAGCGTCATCCAAAACGAAATTTAAACTCCTTGATTCAGACAAAAAAGATTTACTTGAGTTTTCGGGAAGAAACCAGGAGGACCTAAAAACTACAGATGAAACAAGTCCTTTTCTGAATTATGACTATTTTACAACGACCGAAATCATTTCGACTTTCGGATTCGGAAAAGATCAAATTGTGGCTCTTATGATTTTAAGCTTGGCATTTTTCAGCGAGTTCAGCATTGCCCAGTTAATGCCCATTTTAGCTACAGATCTAATTGCAGAATTCGATCTTAACCCTTCCATTGAGCCCCAAATTCTCTCTGCTACATTTGCCGGATTCGCACTAAGTTACCCTTTATGGGGTTTGGTGGCCGATTTGTATGGACGGAAGAAGGCCATAATTATGTCTGGGTTATGGTCACTTGTTTGGAGTGCAGCTTCGAGTGTAGCGCCGAATGTGTTTTGGTTAATCATCTTCAGACTTCTATTCTCTTTAGCGGGAGGTCAGGTTTTTTCATTGCCCATTCAATAATAAATTTGTATCAATCAATTAAAAGATTTTAGGGTTTGAGAAATTGAGAACGAAGGATACACAGCATTAAAACTTTAATTCAGCCTACTTTTGCCGGTGTTATGAAAACCGTAATCCCCTTACTTTTATACAAGGTAAAAGCTGGGAATACTAGTCCATAACCACAAAGTATGGTATGGAAACAATTTCCTTTTGTGGGAACAGCTTTTTCTCTTATGGTTCTATGAAAAACCAATTCGAAGGATATAAAATTTAATAGAAAGCGAATTTGTCTTGAGATTCGAAGATCTGGGAATTTTTTTTTTCAGGCGTGACTAACATAGTAATGACATATTATTACGAGTATCTGCCCCCCAAGTACCACTGGATGGGTCCGATTTCCGGAAACCAAGTCGGAGGGTTTGTGTTTGCATCTGCATTCCCTGTTCTCGCTGGACTATTATTACTGCACTACGCTGATCTGTCCTGGAGAATTTTTGTAGCTGTAACTGCAAGTCCGCTTGTCCTTTTCTGCTTAGCTGCAATCGTCTATCTGCTCGAGTCGCCTCGTTTTCTATTGGTTAACGGAAGGTCCAGTGAAGCTTATGATGTTTTAGAGAAAATGGCACGTCGAAACAAACGCGAACTGCCTGGAAAATTTGCTCTCAAAGTCGAAGATGAAGTAGGCCGATCAAAAGAACAGGCAAAAGGCGCGAATATTTTGAAAATGTCACTGGCTGCTCTCAAAAACTGGAAAATATTGAGAACTTTTGTTTGCATTATGATGATTGGTACTACAACTAGATTCGTGACTTATGGAATGAGTTTTATCAAAAATGATTTCGTTTTCAGGACGGGAAAAGAGTCTAGCTACTGCGACGAAGCTCATGGAAGAATCGAACTTCTCAAAGTTTCCGACTATGAGACTTTGATGTTGACAATAATCGGAGAGCTTGTTGCATGTGCGGTTCTCATTCCGGTTCTTAAAGTGAACTTCAGCCTAAAGATTTCGGCAATTGTGTCTTTCGGCTTAAGTTCACTACTGACCTGTATTTTATACTCGTGTCCCAGCTTACACATTGCACTTGCACTGATGACGATTATCCGAATACTGAGCCAGGTGGTGAATCTTAACATGTGGATGCGACTGTCGGGTCTATTGCCCACGGAAGTTCGCTGCTCCTTATTTGGACTGTGCACTTTCTTCATGTATTTCACCCTTCCTGCAATGCCATTTCTCACTCAAGATCTGGCCAAGTTGTCCCCTCATTACACCACAAGTGTATGTGTGCTGTACATTTTAGTCGGTTTCATCGGTGCTTTACTTTTACCAATCAAAATGCACGCAAACTGAAACTCAATAAATGCCCCATTTATATTCCGAAATTTTATAGTTAATGAATATTGCAGATCAGCCCGTGAGTCTTTTAAAAGTATTGAGGTTGGAAAAAATTTCCACCAATTTTCTAGCAAGTGCCTGTGCGCAGCGTGCTTTTTTCTCCAGTTAATTTTTAACTTTTTAACCATTTTTGACGAAACTTTTACAAAGGATATGAAACAAATTGATGCTTTCAGCTCAA